TTTTTTTTTTTTTTTTTTTTTTTTTCCTACCAATGTTAGTGGTGCTGATAAGAGCAGACACCACTAGCACCCGGGGAGTGGCTCCATCTATTGGTGGGGAGCATCACCTGCTGCAAAATGGGTCCAGCATCCCAAATACAAAAAAAAACATGATTGGGCAATTGAAATTTGGGCTGTAGTGTACGAGAGGGTTATTGCCTGTCAGCATTGATTACCCTGGGTAACCAGGGGACTGACTGAGCAAGCATACTAGAGGATGATTTAGACAGACTCACTCCCGAGGAATAAAAGCAGTAATTGCAATGATTTGGGGCAGCAGCCTCTTCACCCGTTTCCGGGCGCCAAAAGAAAAATTCCGCAACTAGCTCTGATTTTCCCCTATTGCACAACAATTAGTCATCATCCAGTCCTTGATTTTCCAGATCTCTTTTGCAGATTAATCATACCCGAACCAGGATATTGGGACCATGGCCATTGGAGATGGGGGGAAAGGGTCTGGAAAGTCTGCAGCAGGACGCAGGGGAATAGATGGTTCAACCACTGACCAATCAGCAAAAATCAACCTGTAATCTCTGTTTATTTTTTCATTTTCCCCACCCTTGTCCTTATCCCACTTAATTTCACCCAACTTCCTTCCCTGGTTTCCTCCAAGCCAACTGTGACTGAATTGTTTGATGTGTTGGAGAATCTCTGATTTAGAAGATAAGTGTTGTATCTTTCCCTTTGTATGTTCCCATATTGTTAATATTTCTGTTAGAATTTGTTGTTTTATTATTTCAATGAATTATGGGCCATCTACCCTGGCCCCCTTCATCTCATAGGTGCATCTTCTTAGCCATATGGACCACACTACCGCCCTCCTCCCAATAGTAAAGAGGTTTTGTGTGAAGTCATCTTTTGGCTCTAGAGCCTATGATTCCAAGAGAATGGATTTCCAGCCCCAAGGCCATGAGGTGGGTGGATGTAGCTGACTCCATATTCGGTCTCACCATCTCCAAAGCCATATTGCACCAGGGCGTTGGATGAATACATGCTCTATGGTTTCAGGAATTAATCTACTAGGGAAGACAGATTTACAGAGTCTACACCAGCGTGAGGCAATTCCTTTCTGTTCTAAAGAAGATCTGTCTATCAGCCAATCATTAGTGGGAAGGCATCTATGTTCAATTTGTCATTGAAGTGACGTTACCTTTGCTGGTCTTAACTTCGTTAACCTGAACCATTTCATCGGTCTGATCTCTTCTCTGCTAAGATTGAGGTGTTTCATCCACCTGACAGATACTATATCCTTTAGGTTAATTCTTATTCTGAACATTCGGTAGGTGGACTTCACTGTTAAACTTTGGAGATCCCTTTGGTATGTTCTATCACCTTTTGTAGATCTGTTGCTCTTCATTAGTGAATCCCAAATCCAATTAGCAGGATCTAGTGCCAATTGTGAGATGGGAGTATCAGGTCTGAAAGCCAGTCATTGATCCTTTATTTTTATTACTCTGATTTTGAAAGTTTCACAATCTTGGACCCACTTTTTCTGATCTTGCCTGTTCAGGCAGATAAAGTTATTTTGTGCCAAATCATAGAGTTCCAAGAGGATGTCCCCATTCGTATATTTGTCTATGATAGAACCAACCACTTGGGGCTGATCTTTGATTGTTACCCAGTCATTAATTTCTAATTTGGGTCCTCTTCTAAGGATTCTGACCCATTCCAGTGAGATTAAATCAACTTGAATGATTCTTTCCAGGGCCTCTTTGAGTGGTGACAGTAGCGGAGGTGCTCTTGCAAGATGGATGGTTTAATCCAATCATTTGTCTCAATATTCCATAGATCTTTTATCCTTATGATCCTTTTTCTAACCCAACCCTTCCACAGCGAATCCATACAGTGAAGTACGTACCCTTGAGCATCCCTATCCATCTGTTATCAAAGAGGGGTTGCTGGCAGACCTCTTCCCATCTTTCAGGGAAAGTTTGTCAGGCAGTGGGAGTCTCCTCCATGTATGGAGAAGTGTGACCCAAAAATGATCACTGCATAGATCATTTCTTG